TATGATTTTTATTGTATTTTTGTTTATATAATAATTAATCAAATTAATGATATTATCATTAAAATATTCAAAAATAACTTTGCAATTAAATATTATTAAATATTTTTTTTTTGTTTCAAATGAAATTTTTTTTGAAATGTTTTTAATAATTAATAATTGTGATTTTTATACTGTGATTTTTTTTAAATTGTTGATTTTAATATTATTATATTTTTTTAAATTAATTATAATTATCAATTTTTATATCCTATAAATTCTTAAATTCTTAATTTATGCATTATAATAATCTTTTAAATTATTAATTTCAATATTATAATTTAAAAGTTTCAGTATTATCATAATTATTTGAATTTTTTATTTTAATATCATAATTGTATTTAATGCTTTTATTTTGATATTGTGAATAATATTTACAGTAAGTTATCAAGATTTTTTTTTAGACATAATATCTTGTACATGTTGAAATAAAATTATATAATTATTAATCAATAAAAAAATAAAAAAATTTCTTTAATAAAAATAATATAATTCTTTTTTATAGATTATATATTTTCAAGTGAATCAATTTTGCTGATTTTTTAGAAAAGTAAACTTAGAAAAAAAACAATTAAAGGATTAATTTATGTGCTTATATATTTTTTAAGTTTATTATTATTTATTATATTGTTTAATTAGTCTTATTTTTATTTTTTGTTTTAATTATAAGTTTCATTTCTTTATTATATTATATTATATTATTTTTTTTAATAACTTTGATTTCTTTATTGAATGCTAATTATTAAACTCTGGTATCTTTATTAATTGATAAATTATAACTTACAGTTTCTGAAATATATGCCGGAAATAAAATTCAATCTTGTCGGTTTTCAGCAATTTGATTAGTTCCCATATTATACGTCATTCGTGAACAGTGGTTTATTATTAAAGGTAGCACTAGGAACATTAATGTAATATGAAAAGGACGAATATACTTATATACTATATATGTGAGTGGTTTTCCAAGTATCTTCAATTTTCTGCACTATTAATATTGAAGAGATAATTGAAAATGCACAAATGGCATCCAAATTCAAGAAGTAGCTTGGTCAAAGCAAGTATGATCCCACACGGAATATTAATAATACTCAATATTTTATCTTACACATACTGTAAATGCTACAATTTGATTTGAAAATGTTTATGACCATTCTGAGATTATGTATGTAATTCCACGAATTTGGTTCTACATGTGTCTAGAAATTATCATGATTATTATAATCTAACCAAACGAAGAGTCGTTAAATAGTATCTAGATAACACATGCATCGTTGAAAAATGAATATTACTAGTGACATAGCAACCTGGGTTTTTATTTTTTAATATACCATTGAACATTGGATACAATAATCGTATAGTAGCTAGCGAATAAAAAAATATTGTTAAAAATATAGCTGTAAGGGCGATTGAAAAGTCACTATACAAAAAAAAATGAGATAATGCTTAAGAATGAATGAATTTAATTGAATTAATAAGAAAATGTAACTAAAATTTGTTGAAATATCTATCAGTTTGTGAAACAGCTTTGAAATCAGGACCAATGGTTGACGGGAAATAAAATATTGGCAGAACGTTAATTGGAATCCGATGCGATTAATTCGTTTATTTACCAAGTTTGCCAAAATAAAAGTGTGTTTTAACCAAAAATAAAGTTAAAAATTAAGATATGAGACATTTCGCAAAGATATAGACTTATTGCAAGGCATGCATTTTATATGCGGTTCTAAAGCAGTAAGCATATTGCAGCTCACCATCAATATTTCTCGGATTCAAATTAACTTGTTTTTTTTGGCATAAACTTATTAAACTACAAACTAAACGTATTACGTTATTACGTTAGTAATGTTTTAAGGATAATATTAGCGCGATTATCGCAAACCTTTCTTTTTTTATGGCACGTGTAGCATGTCACCTCACAAAGCAGGAACGAAGAGTATTTAAAAAAAAACAAACAATTAATTATAAATATTATATAAGGCACAGACATAAGAACATGCCTTATCTGCTAGTAATAATATAAATTATTATAGTATGGAAATTTCACTATAAATTTGCCTGCTAATTATCCTCTTTATCTCGATTATCCTCTTTATTCTCTTTATCTCAATTATTCTCTTTGTCCCTCCTATTTTATCGCGATACCCGTTATAGCATTGTGTGAAAAATTACCCCTTATTTCCCTATAACACTATATAAGTGAAGTAACTATTATTAATGATGTCATCACCAACTAACCTGGACCGTTTACGTAACATTAAACCGAGAACTTGGTATTATTTGGCTTAATTTAAGCAAGGCTGAGACATGTTATATTCTTCCATCGCTAATATTCTTTCCTTATATTTTCCCAGAACCCTAATGTATTTCTGGTATCTTTCCTTCTCGTCCAAATCCTTTATTTCTTTTTCTTAAAGATTACAATGATCTTTCTACGAAGCCATAGGTAAGTATTATAGTAGATTATATCTGCTTCGCCGTACCTCATCTCCATATTACCAATACCCTTTACAACACGTAACACACTTGATTCTATCTATAACATTAGATAGTCAGGACAATGTAAAAAAGAAACAATAAAATGAAGGATCTAGTAATGCATCTTTTATAAAAAAAAAGACAAATCTACACGTACAGAGTGTATTTCTCTTTGAACCTTAATCACTTGGTCAGTAAAATACATAAAGTATTATTACAGTGTCGATACTAATCAAGGCTACAATTAATTAAAAAAATTAAATAGAATTAGCTAGTGATTATGTAACTTAGAATGGATGTAAATTACAGATATACCTTAATAATTTTTCGAGATTATCATTTTTGTCGGATATTATCTTGGTAAACGCATTACCCACTACTTCAAAACAAACCGATTTCGATCAGTGTACCTTGTATGTTCATGTGTAAAATACCATCATGTTTGTCACCAAGTTTTTCATGCTTTAAAAAATTGCGTCGTCTTTTTCGTGGAATATTTTCAATTTCCCATAATTTATTATTAATAATGAGTTAGATTCGTAATTTTGAAAATAATTTTCAGGAAGCATAACTTACGTTTTCAACCACAATGCATTCTCTATCATAAAATATCAACGTTAAAAGAAGATTTAAGAAGATTTACTATTCGTCTCGATATTTATATTCACTCATACTACTGTCCAACAAGGCACTATGTCTTCGTAACAACTGGAGAGTTCTAAGAAAGAATTATTTCATTTTGCAGTCATAATAACAAAAGAATTCATCATAATACATGCATTCGCTTATAAAGGTCTTGGCACCAAAACACTTTGATGTTCATACATATCAAATTGTTGTCTTGTAAAAGCCGTCATTAGTGAATTGAAATCTGTAAAAAAATGTATCTTCATTTACATTCTTTTTGATAACTTCGTTATAATCTCAACTATTTTTCCAGCATTCTTCGATTTCTTTTTTATTAACAGACTCTTCGGCCTCATTGTTATTAATAAAATAAATTTGTTAATCTAGAGTTCATATCCATAATAATAAAAAAAAACCAACTAACTAATCATTATCCATTTACTTTTCTGTCATGTTCATTTGATCCGGTGATAATTTCTTAAAAAGTTGTTTCGTGTAAATTAAATTCAACATCAAAAAAACAAAAAATCTTATTAAATTTCCTTTTAGTTTCGATATACGATATAAAACATGATGTATAGAAATCAAAATTACCTTAATTTTCGGAACTTGAATAGTACTGTATAAAATTCTCTTTTTCGTTTGTGAATAAAGTCATCTCCTAGAATAAATTTGTGATTTGAAATTTAGCTTGCAATACGCAGACTTTGAAAGTATAAAATTGTTGGTATATTCCAAGTACCTCTTCCATCTCTAGTTCATCAAGGCTTTCTTCATTATTGTCATCTGATAGTATATCGCTTGGATCATCCTCAAGGCTGATGCTCTTTTTAACGTTTTCATAACACAGGTTTTATTTCTACAGAAGGTTATTACTTCAGGTAATTTCTTTTCTCGCTGAATATGCATAATGAAAAAATTTTTGTTGCTCAAAACTTTTAGACGCAACTAAAAGTTAAAGTGCACCCGCAAACCCAAAATGGGACTCGACCCTGGGATTTTCGACTCAACGAGCGGGGATTCAGACTCGACCTAGCACTTTGAGCAGTTAACAACGGGTCATAGCAAGGCACTCTCTTAGACTCGACTAAGAAATGTTCGGACGCAACCTAGCCTATGCCATAGACCCGAAACAACGAATATAGCAAAGGAAAAAGAAAAAAAAATTTTTAACCTTGAGTGATTCCGAACAGTGTGACGCCAACTCTTTGGCGGATTCTTCTTTACGAGTTTCCAATAACTCCGGACTTTGGATAATCTCTTCCAAACAAAATTTATATATTCTATGCTCCTTTTTTCCGAAATCGTTTATACGTTTATACTCCAATGTAAAAAATCTATCAGGCTCCACGTTTCGTTGTCTTGAAGTACGGAACCCTTAACGTCCAACGTTCACTTTCTTGAGTGATCATTATAACACGACACGATTAGTGGGATAAAAAATTGTCGCATCAAATTCACAATGTCGCGTCAAATTTATATCTTGTGATATTCACGTGAATAATTAAAATTAGATCCGGATCCATTCCAGGATCTTAGGATTACTTACATAATACTTCGACGCCTGCAAACAGAAATAATTGAATTTTGAACACGCAAGTAAGATATAAACTTTCAGCAGGTTAATATTGCCAATTAATTTTGATAAAGCCCTTGGTAGTTACGTAAGTCGTAGCTGGATAATGTAAAATATTCGCGTGACGTCATTTCCTGTTAACTTTCCAATATTTTTTCGCAAACATCTAACGTTTTTTATTGCTAAGATAATAAATATTTATATTTTGTGGAAATATAATAGAATCAAGGATTTTACTTTTAATTCAGTATTTTATAAATATATAGTTGTTGTTTTTGTTTGAATTGTTAGTATTTACATTATTGATTTTTTTCACTTTATATTAAATATTGATAAAATAGTTGTTGTGACAAACTATTGGTTTTATATTTTATAAAGAATCATACTGTAAATATAAAATTGAAAAATTTTCTCGATTTTTTTATATATGATTAAATAAGATCAAAAATCACAAGTAATTAAATTAAATAAAACCTTATTTATTTACTTATTTAAGATTATTAATCGAATATAATACTATTATGCTTTTATAATCGAAATCTAATATATTATTTTGTAATTTCATATTTTTTAAAAAATTACAAACAGGCATTAAATACAAAACATTCATTAAACTTTGGTTTATTATTATTATATTAATAATCTTTAATATACAAAGTAAATAAATTAATTATGACCTAATGTAATTATCATTGTTACTAACCAGTATCAAGTAGATAAGTTCATATTAACAGCACTAAATGATCAATACCTATTTAAAGTAATAAAACTATTATAAAAGTAAAAACATTTTTGTCAATTAAACTATTATAACTCTTAAGGTATTAAAAATCTAATCAAATATTAAATTATAAAATATAAACTTTTGATTCTATTTTATCATTTTAGTTTTATTATTTTATTTCAGAAAATAGTAATTTAGTAACAATAACTGATCTTTTTTTTTAGATTTTATATAATATTTTGAAAATTAGATTAAATGTATTAAAATTTATAATAGTAAAAAAGATTATTATGTCATATTAATAAAATCTTTTTTATTAGAAATATTTTTATTAAATAGTAAAATAAAATATTTTTTTAATTATAAATAAAATGTAAATATAAAAGAAAATATATGATTAATCTTTGAATTGGGCTTTATAGTGTTATAGTGTTAAAATTGTGATGCAACTCCAGTTATATGACTAATAATTGTGATAATACTGTGAAAAACCTGTTCCTGTTATGGTACTGTTGGGCCGGAAAACGGCGAGTCAGTCGCTTCACCGGTCCAAAGTTCGCGTTTCTAAAGGTAAGTTGAGGCGTGTATGATTGATTTAGCCGGGCAGTACTAATTAACTTCTCTTCTTTTCTTTCCCGGCA